CAATCTAGTTCAATATTGTCTGCAGTGCCTGGAAGTGGCTATTAATGGTTTCATAGTGCAGTTCCTCCACACACACACCCCAACCTAGAGGTGCCTTGGACTCAATGTGGAACCACTGAGTGATGGCCCTTTTTACAAAGCATGACTTCTAAGACAACCGAGTCTTGTGGCAGGTAGCTGTATCTGATAAACTGGGCTCTGGCCTGTGAAAGTTGGTGCAACGGTACCTATTATCAGTCTTTACATTGACAAAAGACTCTACTGCTATGATGGCATGTTAAGTGGAAAATTAATGCACATGCTTTGAAGTCTGACCCCCCCCCCAAGTAGTCTGTGATCATTTCATTAAATTGTAAAACATGCAACTCACCTGGGTTGGGCATAAAATCATCATTTCTTGGTTTCATGATGGGTTTGGCACAGTCCGCACCAGTCCACAGCCCTTCACAGATACACTGTATTTCATTACTGCACACCTATAAAGAATGTAATCTAACATTTAGAAAGCAGTCCTCAAATCTGAGTATGTCATCCGAATATATTGCTTTCCTGCTTTTCTACCACTAGGCTACAAAATGAGGCAGATGATTAATTCCAGTGCTTTAAAGTATACTGGATGATTTATTATTCTTATTTGTATGCCACCCTATACCCGTAGGTTCCAGATTGGTTCACATGTATTTACTTTCAGCCTGTTTTACAGCCCTTTTGGAAAAGGCACAGAAAGAACCCTTGCCAGTCAGCCAATATTTAAGGAATTAATGTGCAATCACTCCCTCAAGGCACTGCAAAACCTACTCCATGCCCTGAACAGATGGTGCCTTCTGTACTTCCTGGACAGGAGCTGAAGTTAAAGGATTCTGCAGAAAGGCATCTGTGCTCCCAACATATCCTTCCTTGGCCACAAGGTGTTCCATCTTCTACATAGCCAAGGTCTGCATCTTCCTCTAGCTTGACATGACCCCCGCTGCAAAAGGACACAAAAAGCCTTTGTTAAGTTAGATCACCAAACTAAAATCCCTTTTTAACAAAACTGCTGTCAAAACATAGAACACTAGAGGAGGAGGAGGAATTTGGATTTGATATCCCGCTTTATCACTACCAGAAGGAGTCTCAAAGCGGCTAACATTCTCCTTTCCCTTCCTCCCCCACAACAAACACTCTGTGAGGTGAGTGGGGCTGAGAGACTTCAGAGAAGTGTGACTAGCCCAAGGTCACCCAGCAACTGCATGTGGAGGAGCAGAGAAGCGAACCCGGTTCACCAGATTACGAGCCCACCGCTCTTAACCACTACACCATGCTGGCTCTAAGTAACGTTTGTTAATCCTTTTTTCATGGCTAGAAAAAAGCTGACGTTTTCTCACAGTGGATCACGCAAAACTTCAAAAAAATTCTGACCAGTGATTAAGCAACCTGGAATTTATGCAACGTTATTTTAAATTTACAAGTGCAACTGCTCTGTATACACATAGCGATGGACGTGTGATGTGCTGTTACCTCTGATCATGACAATAACATACAATTCATGTGCTTGGACTGGGTCCTCCCCGTTTAGAATTTGAGAAATTACCTGCAAACAAAGGACTTGTCCACAGCTTGAAGAGAAGTCGAAGTGATTTCGCCATCGAGTTCCCCAAGTCTTGGGGTGATAGAAACAATATTAGAGCACAGGAGATATCCACAAAGAACATCCCTGGAAGGAAAGATTAAACAAGGCATTCATTGTTGATGCTGCTGCTTGGAGTAAAACAGGGGGGGGGGGACTGCCTAAGAGAAATAGGTGATGTTTACTGAACATAAGCAATAGAACACAGAAAACTGCCTTATCCTGAGTTAGATCACTGGTCCATTTAGCTCAGCATTGCCTACACCAGGGTTTCCCAAACTTGGCCCTCCAGCTGTTTTTGGACTACAACTCCCATCATCCCTAGATAGCAGGACCAGTGATCAGGGATGATGGGAACTGTAGTCCAAAAACAGCTGGAGGGTCAAGTTTGGGAAACCCTGGTCTACACTAGGGGTGGCCAACTCCTGAGAGACTGCAATCCACTTTCAAAATTAAAATCTGGCAGTGATCCCCCATTTTTGGGGGGTTCAGCTCAAAGTTGTTGAGCTTTTTAGGGGAGGTGCCCCATTTTTTAGGGGGGCAGCTCTTCTGAGGGAGGGGGGGACAAAGGCAGCCACTAACCTTACGATTGCTGGCCAGATAACAGCCTCCGTTTCTAAACTCCGGCTTCCCATCTGCAACAATAGAGGCCGGCGCTGGGAGAGGGGGTGGGGTCGGAAGGGGGCCGACGATCAACCACGATCTACCAAAACCTCGCAGGGATCGACCAGAAGATCGTGACTGACATGTTGGACATCCCTGGTCTACACCAACAGTCTCCAACCTCTACAGGCCCAGAACCCCCTTGAACTCAAACAAGCACCTGGGGACCAACAGTACCTCAGGCACTGGTGACTTCATGATTGTATTACTGCAATGCAATCTTTGCAATTAAATCTAAAATATTATTATTATTATTATTATTATTGATGACGATGATGGTGTTAGATCTGGTTATCTGCAAAGGAACATATATGTCGCTTATAATGCCTGAGAACCACTGGCCTAAAACACGGAGAAAATCAAGGTGCTATCTCAAAAGAATAGTGTTAACTTACTCATTCTTGCACTGCGTCCAAGTATCTTTGTCTCTGCCACAGTTGCCTTTCTCAGTTCCTTCTATATTCAACCTCTCGTAGCAATAGTTATCAGCGACCGTCACATCTTAAGAGCAAGGGAAAAAATAACAGAAACTAATTTCCTTCAATCATGACGCACAAGTTTGTTCTAAAAGGTAAGCACATGTAAACATGGGAAGATTTTGGCCTGATTGAGATCACAATTTATATGCTCTCAACTATTTTTATTATATAAGCACTGAAGGTTCTCAGCTAAAGCATCCTTGAAATGTACTGGTGACTGGGTTGGGAGGAAATTGACAGGAAACTAGAATTTGCAAAGGTATTGTACAATTGATAAAGCACTTTGCCTTTAAAATAGTAGACATCTGTGGTTATAAAGCAGCAGAAACATCTGCTGCTGGAAACTGTAGCAGAATACTGCCTATTCTCTAGCAACCAGACAAAATCTAGAGTCGTTTAGAAATCAACCCATCTCCCCAAATAACTCCGAGAACCACAGCTCTGTGAGGGCAATAGTGGCCTTCTAACAACTCTCAGCAACCCCTAACAAACTAGAGTTCCCAGCATTCCTTGGAGGAAGCCATGACTGTATCATAGTGCTCTAAAAGGATAGCGCAGGTGTGGCCCTAATGTTGAATCAGAATCTATTCTTCTGTAACTTAAGTCCATTAGATATAGTGCTGTTCTCTGGAGCAGCAAATAGCAAGTCGTTGCCTTCTTCTGTGTGACAGTCCTGATGCCAAGCAAGTGGGTTTCCAGAGGGATACCACTTTAAAAAAAAATAATAATTGGAAGCTTAAAAGAGCTTACTCACTTTCTCCCCAGATATATTTACACTGCCTGTCTCTTGTTTTACATCGTCCTCCAAAACAAAGGCCCTGAAGAGAAACCAAGAAAAGGACACATGGTCTATCGTCATTTGACATATTTCCCAAAAAACTATTGCTTAGCTTGTTTCTACATTACTGAGGGGGAAAGGTTGTAAAACAGTAAAAAAAAACACCATAGGTACCAATGGGACATACTGCCAGGTAAGTGTGCCTAGCAGTCTTAATATGCAACTCCATTTTAATATACAATTTCAATTTCAAATGTTTGCCAGATCTAAATAAAAAAGGTCTTACTATTCAAAAACCTATTCCCCCCTCACTCACCTAACCAACTGAAGTGCAAATTATTGTTATGTATTTGAAGTATTAACGTTACATTACAATTGTCTATCTGCCCCTAATGTGATACGCAAGAAACAAAGTGAACAAGAAACCGAACCTATAATATTTACACATATATTTAAAAGGAAGGGGTGGGGAAGAGACACGATTCTGGCACGAGATTCTGCAGCACGTGTTTAGAATCACAGATTCCATCATCCCAAATGAGTCCTTTAATAGGCGTCTGTGAACAGACTAGCTTTTATCTGCTCAAGCCTATCTTACGCAAGTTATCAAATGAAACACTGTACATACCTCTTCGTTATCGCATGAATACCCATCCATTTTGTGCAGATTTGGAGAGCACTAAAGAAAAAGCACAAGAATAAATATTGACATCCTGGGCATCAGTGAACTAAAATGGACGGGAATGGGCAAATTCAGTTCGGATGACCATCATATCTACTACTGTGGGCAAGAATCCCGTAAAAGAAATGGAGTGGCCCTCATAGTCAACAAAAGAGTGGCAAGAGCTGTACTGGGATGCATTCTTAAGGAAATCAGCCCTGAGTGCTCACTGGAAGGACAGATCCTGAAGCTGAGACTCCAATACTTTGGCCACCTCATGAGAAGAGAAGACTCCCTGGAAAAGACCTTGATGTTGGGAAAGATGAAGGGCACAAGGAGAAGGGGACGAGATGGTTGGACAGTGTTCTCAAAGCTACTAGCACGAGTTTGATCAAACTGCGGGAGGCAGTGGAAGACAGGAGTGCCTGGCGTGCTCTGGTCCATGGGCTCACGAAGAGTCGGACACAACTAAACGACTAAACAACAACAACAACAACAACAAAGAAAAAGCAGAAAGAACCATATGATAAGCTAGACCAGAGTTTTTAAAGCTGCACTGCAGTGTCTAAAATTAATGCAAATGCAGCTTTTAAAACTTTCCTTCGATTGGACATTGCCTCCTGTCTCCCAAAATTGTTTTGTCCAAGTGGGTATTAACTGAATGTCCAGATTTTGCAAACCTCACTCTCTCTCTGAACGTAAGAAGCTGCCTTATACAGAGTCAGACCAATGGTCCCTCTAACTCCATACTGCCTACACTTGTTGGCAGCAGCTCTCCAGGGCTTCAGGAAGGAGCCTCTCCCAATGCTAACCTGGAGATGCCAGGGATTAAACCAGGGACCTTCTACATGCCAAGCAGACGTCCTGTTGCTATACTGAGCTACAGCCTTCTAGTCGCTCATTTTGAAACTTTACCTGATTAGAGTCTCCTGTGCAACTCTCTGCAATATCGCAATCATTCACAGCTTCTCTGCATACAACTCCTTTGGCTTCAAACTGAAAAAGAAACATTAAATATCTGAGAAGATCTATAACCTTTTGACAGTTCAAGTCAAAATACCACACACACAAAAGTATTTTCTTCTTCTGTTCTTGGCATCGGGTTGAATTGGGGGTTCTCATATGCTACTGACAAAATTCAAATGTCCAAGTACAATAATGAAGGTTACAATTACATGCCACTATATTTATAAACGGCACAACCCCTGTGATCAGCGGCCCATATAAAGGAGGGAAGCGGTTCAAAGAAGCAGATTCTAGCTAAACTTAGGAGAAACAGACTGAAGCAGCCTGCCTCAGGAGGTGGTAAGCTCTGCTTTGCCGGAGGTACTTAAGCAAAGGATGGCTGGCCATCTGTCATGGATAACTGTAGCTGCATCCTCCATTGCAGATCCTACAGCGAGAACCGGGTTTGGCTGCGTGACCTCCAAGGCCCCTTCCAGCTATAACACCATTTCATTCTGTGCTACTGTTTCTCTTTTAATATCTTCTCAACTGGCCGACTTGTAAACAAACAAGTGTTTGAAAACAGGAGATACTGTGCTATGTCCTGCAGATGAAACTGACTGCGAAGGAAACATTGTTAAGATTTCAGAAAATGAGTCGATTCTGTTGGTAATCAAAAGTAGGCATAATTACATAGCGGCAGGCTTTTAAACGGTCTTTTTTTAAAAAAACAAATAAATAAAAATCCTTCACTTAAATACGCACCTGACATTTTTTACAGCAAAGTCCATTACTGCATTCGGAGTTAGCCGTTAGACTACAGGAATTACAGCAATCTCCACCTTCAGCACGACATTCCTGAGGAGTGGAAGCAATTGTAAAACAGCAGTTTGACGAGCGCATTTCTTCAAAACTTCACCCGACACTCTATGGTGCGCATAATGAAAACTTCAGATTAAAAAATAAATAAATAAATAATTTGATGGCCTTGGGAGAAGCCTATACTCTGGCATCTACTAACTGAGAAACATGCTCTGAGCATGACGAGCATTGGATACACCCCAGAGTCTCCTTTTCCTCTTTTTACACTTGCTTGGTACATTGCAAGGAGACCCAAAGTACCTCCACCAGCACCACTGTGCATGCATAAATGCACGGTTAATGTGCAGCTTGCTTCCTTCACCAAGTGGCTGGCGCGGAAGACAATGCAAACAGTAAGCCTGCCCCCTTAAGGCAGTTTCTCTTCTTCTTCTTTAATGAGTTGTCTAATTTGGAAAGGAAGAGATGCCCCAGGCAAACTATTCATTGCATGACTTACGGTCGCAGTACCACAGTCACATTCTTCTCCAGCTTCAACAAAGCCATTGCCACATTCTGGAGGATCGAGAAGCTGCGATGAAAAATAAATAAGGAAGACACGATAAAAATGGTAAGTGTGGGGTTGCATTATTTGGCCACCGGTAAAACAGCCCACAGTTGTATTCATATGTTTAGGTGGAGGAGCTCTCAAGAATATGCAAGCTATAGCTATAACCCCTGGAGTCCAGGGGTGTGAAACATTTTTCAGCCCAGGGACCACGTTCCCTTCTGGGCAAGCTTCCAAAGGCCAGGTTCCAGTGGTGGGGAGTGCCAAAGGCTGAGGCAACCAATGTAAATTTTACATTTGTACAGCAGGATGCTGTTTACTTCTCTGTCCTCCGTCCAGACAAGCAAGGGTTCAAGGGTTGTTCAAATACACTCAGAGTAGGAAACGGGGGCTGTGGAAAGTTCAGTGGGGCAGCTAGGGCTGGACGTGGGGTTTTTCACCGCTGCCATAGGTAACCAGTTCTCCTGTCTAATATGTCTGTGCACCTGGAGCATGGCATTGTTCATGCATCAGCCAGGGTTGAAGCTTGTGCGTGCATTGTCACCCAGGGGCTGCGACTACCACTTTCAATAGCCGCTTCACATATTTATTACTCAATGCCTAAAAAGGCTTGTGTGAGTCACATCTACAGTGACATACAGAAAAGAAAATGAAGCGTCTTTCCAATGTTACGCACTAAATTATTCCACTGTATACAAAGAGGGTCATTTGTGGTTGCATCTTTGCAATGCCTTTTCATTTTTAAACAAGCATTTTTAAACAACCATTTTATTCTAGCTGTTGCTCTTTGTGGCAGCTTAGGTTGGACAGTGTTCTCGAAGCTGCTAACATGAGTTTGACCAAACTGTGGGAGGCAGTGGAAGACAGGAGTGCCTGGCGTGCTCTGGTCCATGGGGTCACGAAGAGTCGGACACGACTAAACAACAACAAAGTGTTTGGGGGTTTAACTGCTGGCCCTGCCTCCTTGGCTCATTTGGTTTCTGTTGTTGTTTTATAGCATTTTCGTTTTTAAATATTGTAAGACGCCCAGAAGGGAAGGACATAAATGCTTAACTATTTTTTCTTTTTTTTTTTAAAGCCAATTTATTGGGTTTTACAATAAGAATAAACATAATAAACAATATAACATTTGTCTTAACATAGTTTCACATTTTCTTTGGACTTCCTCACATCCCCCGCTCCCACTTTCATCGTTATAACATTTTGTCAGCAATTTATCATCTTATTTAAATTCTTATATCTCTTCAATGTTTCATAATCTTATAGTTCTCATAGAGAGTTAAACTTTCACAGTCTTACTTATTTTCTTAAAAACTTCTAAGTTAAGTGGTGCTCAGTTATTTAGTCTAGCATCTTATTTAGCATTCACTCAAATCACAATATTTTTGTAGATAGTTCTTAAATTTCTTCCAATCCTCCTCGATTCTCTCTTCTCCCAGGTCACGGATTCTGCCGGTCATTTCAGCCAGTTCCATGTAGTCTATCAGTTGCATCTGCCATTCTTCCAGTGTGGGTAAATCTTGAGTTTTCCAATGTTTTGCAAGAAGTATCCTTGCTGCTGTTGTTGCATACATAAAAATGTCTGGTCCTTCTTTGCCACCCCTTGGCTGACAATACCCAGAAGGAAAGCCTCTGGTTTCTTGGTAAAGGTATATTTAAATACCTTTTTCAATTCATTATAAATCATTTCCCAGAACGCCTTCACTTTAGGGCAGGTCCACCAGAGGTGGAAGAACGTTCCCTCACACTCTTTACATTTCCAACACTTATTATCAGACAGGTGGTAAATTTTTGCAAGTTTAACTGGGGTCATATACCATCTATAAATCATTTTCATTACATTTTCTTTCAGAGCGTTACATGCAGTAAATTTCAATCCATTACTCCACAACTTTTCCCAGTCCTCAAACATAATATTATACCCAATGTCCTGTGCCCACCTTATCATAGCCGATTTAACCATTTCATCTTGTGTATTCCATTCCAACAGCAAGTTATACATCCTTGAAAGTACCTTAGTCTTTGGTTCTAACAATTCTGTTTCTAATTTCGATTTCTCCACCTGGAACCCTAGTTTCTTATCATTTTTAAAAACTTCTTTAATCTGAGCGTAATGTAACCAATCTCGCACTTTGTCTTTCATTTTCTCCAAACTCTGCAATTTCCAATTGTCTCCATCTTTTCTAGTATTTCCCAATATTTTGGCCATTTAGCCTCCATATTGGGTCTTTTCGGGCCTTAGCTTCCAAAGGTGAAAGCCACCTTGGTGTTTTATTTTCCAGCAAGTCTTTATATTTTGTCCAGACATTAAACAATGATTTTCTGACAATATGGTTCTTGAAGGCCTTATTTGCTTTAACTTTGTCATACCATAAATATGCATGCCATCCAAAAACATTATTAAACCCTTCCAAATCCAACACATCAGTGTCTTCAAGAAGTAGCCAGTCTTTTAGCCAGCAGAACGCTGCGGCTTCATAATACAACTTTAAGTCCGGCAGGGCAAAGCCCCTCTTTGTTTTGCATCAGTTAATATCTTAAACTTGATTCTGGGCTTTTTGCCCTGCCAGACAAACTTCGAAATATCTCTCTGCCACTTCTGAAAGCACTCCGTTTTGTCCAAAACCTGAAGTGTTTGAAATAAAAACAACATCCTTGGCAATACATTCATCTTAATAGCAGCAATTCGGCCTAACAAAGAAAGTTTCAATTTTGACCAACTGTCTAAGTCTCTCTTAATTTCTGTCCAACATTTTTCATAGTTATCCTTAAATAGACTTAGATTTTTGCTGTTATGTTTACCCCTAGGTATTTTACTTTTTTAACCACATTAAGTTCCGTCTCATTCTGAAACCGTTCTGACTCTGTATCAGTCAAATTTTTCCCCAAAACCTTAGTTTTCTGTTTATTTAATTTAAATCCCGCCACCCGACCAAAATCATTAATCAATTGTAATACTCTTTTCGTACTGGGCTCTGGCTTCTGCAGGGTCAAAACCAGGTCATCTGCAAAAGCTTTTAGTTTATATTGTTTCTGACCAACCTGAATTCCTTCAACCAACCGATCCCCTCTAATCATGTTCAGTAGCACTTCCAGAACCGAAATAAATAACAAAGGGGAGATAGGGCAACCTTGTCGTGTCCCTTTTTCAATTTTGAACTCTTCTGTGACCACATTATTAACTATCAGTTTAGCTTTCTGTTCTGAATATATCGCCTCAATCCCATTCTCAAAACCCCGTCCCACTCCCATCTCTTTTAAATTTCCCATCATAAATTTCCAGGAAATATTGTCAAAGGCCTTCTCCGCATCTATGAAAATTAAAACTGCTTTTGTATTTATATCTGTTTGCAGAAGTTCCAAGATGTCAATAATGTTCCTTGTGTTAGCAAACAGATGTCTACCTGGGAGAAAACCGGCCTGGTCCTTATGAATTACTTCATTTAATACTTTTTAAATCTACTTGCCAAAATATCTGCAAATATTTTGTAATCCACATTTAAAAGAGAGATGGGACGGTAGTTCTTCAGTTGTGTCTTTTCAGCTTCTGACTTTGGTATTAATGTGATGAACGCT